CACCTCGTAGCAGCGGTACTTCGCAATCAGCGCACGGATCAGGCGGTGGTGCGTCGCCACAGCGTCGGGCATGATCTCCGGACACGCAGCCCACAGCGCCGTGCTGCTCTCAATGTCAGTGAACACAAGCGTCACGGGGTCCGTCGGCTCCTTAGGCGCATTATCATTGTCACGCGCACCATGCCGGCGACACAGAAACCAAACAATCACAGCAATAAGTAACAGAACAAAAACAACAGCCCCAACAGCGATACCAACCATCTGTCCCATTGGCATGACTTTTTTCACTGGTTCGGTGTAATGCATAGATGGTGTCCTCGGAGGTGTTATTGTTGGAACGGTGGGATCAAGAGTGCGTGAAAGTGACCATATTGTAATATCTGTAGCTCCATAGTTTACCAAGCACGTAGAATCGATTGTATCAGTACAACTTTCGTCACTGTTTTCTTTGAAGGGACCATAAACCAAATCATCCAGAGAAAAGACCATATATGCGTACAGTGAATGTATAAAAAGTTCGGGACTCATCTTGTCCATTCTTCCTGCAACACTCATAATCACATTGTACGCCACAAAGGATGTAAGACTAAGAGGAGATCTATCCGATGGGTCTGGAAATACTTTTTGATATTCTTGCACGACTGAGAGCTTGGGGTCAGGATCATTCCAATGTGGCAAATTGGTAGCGAAAAAAATGCGGTCGGTTCCACTATCCACTTTCAAGTCTTTCAAATACATATACATAACGTGTTGCTCAGAGGAAGGAATGAATATACTTAGTTTAGGATTATCTGCAACAAATTGATGTAGAGGAATAGCCTCATCAGTATCAATGCCAACAACGAAAACCCATCCTTCGTTCGGCATTACTGCAAGAATTGACATATCTGGGTAAAGATAAGTCACAGAAGAAAGATGAAGGTCAAAGGTTAACAGTGTACGGGTTAACAACTCGTGAATATCTTCTGGGAAAACGCTCAGAATGACTGCATGAATTGGTCGTTCAGGTTGCGTTGATATATACTCTGCCTGTACGAAATACTCCTGATTCAGTGTTGAAGAAAGGTAGATCACATCACGTCGATACATATGCAACATGGCATCAACTCCAATAGGATCTACAAAGATAACACCTGAAACTTCCAGTGCAGCAGGAACAACGACACCGACAAATATATCAACTAGCCGCACTTCAATTTCTGCAATCAATGCATTTTTAAAATCGCCTCGAGTACCATACAATGAAGACATCGTAAAATCCCTTGAGCGCTGAAAATATGGTGGTAAGGCTGCATATGCACCTTTCTGGAATTCCTCAGTAGCATATCTTCCTCTTCGACTATTATTGACCACGAACGTAAGTACACTAGCAGGAGTTAACATTGTCACTGAAGTAGGGTAACAATCTGAGAGTGGATACGAAAACTCGGCATCTTGCATGACATCAGGATCGAAATTCTCCCCAAATACTTTAATAAGCACTGTACGACCACCCTGATTACATTCGCACACAGCTCCCTGAGATTTAGCACGACCAACACATTCACCACCAAAGTCACCAATCACCAGATCCTTAACAAGGTAGCGCCGCTGTTTGAAGAGCGATGTTTCGAAGTCGTGCCGGTCCTTCGTCCACTCGGATGAGGCAAGGGTTTCCATGATGACCTCACCGGCTATCCAGCCGCCCACCATCAACTCCCCAACAACCTCGTCCTCCAGAAAGACCTCAGGATTGGAGTAGTCCGACTGGTTGCTGTTCTTCAGGTAGTCCGTCATCACAGTTTGGAACCGCATGACCGCATCATACCGCGTGTCCGTAGGCAGTGGGTTTGAACCCGTTGTGATGATGCGTCCAGCCACAAAAGGGGTGCCGGAAGCAACAGCAGCCTTATAGTACGAGATTATGGTGCCTTGTGTGCCGAGGGGAGACTGCACATACGTCTCACTGACACGACTGTCAGACATCATCTTCTGGATGAACGCCTCTGTTGTCTTTGAGGTCTTGCCAAAGATAATCACGGACTGCGGTAGGGTAGCAGCAAACTTCTCCCACTCCGCCTTGAACTCCGGGTCGTCTGGGCCCCACTCCCTCGTTCCCGGCAGCGTGAACACACCACACAGCTCCCATCCCATGCCCTTCATCAAGTTGACGGCTGCAGCGTACTCAACATCCCCGTAATAAACATCAGACAAATACATGAAGCCCAGGCGACGAACACGCAAGTGCGCAGTAGCGTACCACACGTGAGCGTATAGGCCGGACATGGGGTCTGTGCGGAGAAAGTAATAATGCGACTCCCAATACCGCACTCCAGATGCCCCAGTGTAGGGACCCAGTGCAACCAAGTGGTGCTTCTCCAACGCAGGAAGGGCGTATTGCAGTGTACTGTCGTCTGCAGGGCCGATAACAGCAAGTATTTTAGGGTTATTCGTCATCGCCTGATCAATCGCTTCAGGAACCGCTGTCTCCGTTGAATCGTGGTTCGTCTCGATCAGCTTCACCTTCAGACCACTGCCAACCGTGTATTGGCGCGACCACATCGCGGCCAGGATGCCTGCCTTGTATGCCTTGACACTACTCTCCGTGCCAGGGTTGTTTGTGTACACCATGTCGAGTAAGTACAGATCTGAGGCCTGCCCCATCACTAGAGTGGACAATGTGGTGAGTGCCACGATAACACATAACGCAGTGCCAAACAACAATTCAATTAACTGGCGATTCATCTGATGCCTGAGTTGGAGGTGACCTTATTGGATAATTTAAACAGAATTAGAGAAAAAAAAAAAGAAATTGAATCAGTACATTTAAAAACAGAACATGTTCGTGTCAGGAGAAAATAAGCAGTGATGTGATGAGAGACTTGGAATGTTGTAGTTGTGAAATACATTTATTGTGGTAGAGATAATAGGGGAAATACTACACGAACGACTAAGATTCGTATGTATTTTATTGTTTACAATACTTCTGAAAATGTTGAATTTCTGCCAAATTGCACCTTCTATGTTAGTGTGCATTACAGCGGTCAATATGTGGTTTCGTATAAAGCATAGAAATCGAAATGACTACTGGTGGCATTGGTGTGCTTGCTTTCTTCAGTTAAAACCTATTGAAATAGTGTTTTTTTTTCCTTATTTTTGTTCGTTCACTTCCATCTACCGATTGGTTCAAGTACTCGTTTTTTTTTTTTCCTTTCGTTTATATATTTCCCATTCTGCTTGGTGTAATTTTATATGTTGTTGTTTCTTCTTTTTGTTTTGCTTTGTTTTTTTTTTTTTTTCGTAGTCTCTTTGATTTTGCTTTTCTTGAGTTCTGACCTTTTGAAATGTTGAAAACTTCTGAAACGATGCTTCGATATCCTCCCTTCTTCATGCAGTTCTTTTCTATCATCAATTACTGTGATTTGTTACTGAATGCATTTGTTCGTTAAGTTGAGATTTTGTTAGCAGTTTTCTTCGTGTACTATACATCCTTGCAATTGTGCTTCTCATTCTTTTGTTCTTCTTTTTTTTTCTTTTGGGTTTCTACTGACAATGCAGGATCAATATGCCTGTGTCTGCCATTTTGTTCCATTTTTTTCTGTAGCCCTTGCTTTGGCTAATCCTTTACCGCTGAAGGAGAAGCAGCAGTCGGCGAGAGCACAGCAGAGCTGCAAAAAGCAGCAGCACCTTCCATACGATCCCGTCTCCAGGAAAACTCTGCAGAAGTCTCAACATCCACTGTATGATAACGTTTGCTGATGGTACCTTTGGTTCTCCTTCTTTTTCTTCTTTTGTTGCTGCTTCTGAGGGTGGTGGTACCGATTTTGCCGGTGATGTACGAACATCATTTACCGTCAATCTGATCTGTGCGGTTTCCGATTTCCCTTGTAAATGCTGGACGTTAGGGTCAGCTTTCACATTCACATCACTGTGGTCAGCCTCATTATTCTTATTTTTGTCATTTTCTTCATTGGATTGTTGCTTTTGTGGACTTTTAGCCTTCGCCTTCTGGCTCATACACGTTGCCCGCATCTCGCCGTACATACCACTATGTGCCTTCTCGTGCTGGACCTCCACCCGTACGCGATCCGCTCTCTCTTGAGCCTCGAGGAGCCCGGCGGCCTCCTGCAGGGATTTCCGCGCCTCCTCGACCGGGTCCATCTCCAACAAGTCCTGCGGGACGATCTGCGGGGCCATCGGCCGGCGCACACGTTGACGGCGACCCCCGCGATCCTCCGGTCTTTCCTCGAGACCCTCCGGCCTCTTCTCCGGGGCTGCGGGAGGAGGGAAAGAAGTGGGGGCAGGGACGTGGGCCATCGCCTCTCCTATCGCTGCTGGAGCTGTTGGAGCTGCTGGAGCTGCTGGGGGTGACCCAGCATTGCGGTTGTTATGGTTATTATGGTTATTTTGATTCTGGTTGTTTACGTTCTTCTTGTTGTTCTTCTGATGTTGCTGCTGATTGTTTGTAGTGTTCATCATCACCTCCTTCTTGGGCGGTGGATGTCTCTCGTCAGCCACAGTCTTTTCTCTTGGAGAAAGGTTGTTGTTGTTGTTGTTATTATTATTGTTGGCTTCGGTAGTTCCCAGTTGATCCGAAAACATCACACGACGAGAACGGCTCGCCGCATCTTGCATATCAGGTGAAAGGTGTTTTCCCTCAATGTTGCTCATTAGTAATGTTATTATTGTTCCCTTATCTGATCAACTCATTTGTGTTTTGATACAGATAAGAAATGAATGGTTGTGTGATTTTAGAAAAAAAATAAAAAGTAAAAAAAAAAAAAAGAGAGAGAGAGAGAGCGAAGGGTATAATAAATAATACATGGATCAACAGGCGAAAAGAGAATTTGAGAGATTGAGAAAGGTAAAGAACACTGAAGGGAGAAGAAAAAAGTAATAACAACATTCTTTTAGGAATCTTTAATGAGTCTTCCTACCATACACACATTTAAAGAAAGAGAGAAATAGAGAAAGGAAGATAAAAGTAATGTTTTTTTTTTTTTTCTATACACTTTATTGGTAACACAGAGACATCGCACATTAAAGGAAAATATATTTCCATACAGATATGAAAACAAATAAATATAAGAGAGAAACAAAAAAAGAGAGAGGGATGGAGACGGTATATGAAGTAAAAGAGTGTCGGTAAGGATAAATGGAAATAATAATAATAATAATAATAATAATAATAATAATAATAATAATAATACAGAGTTTCAGTACCAATATATTATATACATGCAAATATGTAATATATGCAATACCAACAGTTAAACATTCTATTATGCAGCACCGTGGTGAGAATAATAAAAAAAAAAGATGTAAAGAGAGATAGAGAGAGGGGGAGAAGGGGGAAAAAAAAATGGGGGGATACAACACAACAGCTCTGTGTAAAAGAGCCTAAAAAAGAAAAAGAAACCAGGGTATAAAAAGAATGGAACCGTGGAAAATCAGAAAACACTAAAAAAAAGGTTGGGGAAAAAATAACTTTGAAGGCAATATAGAGGAAGAGAGAGAGAAAAAAAAAAAGGGATAAACAAGCGGAAAGGATGGTATGGTCATAATGTCCATAGTTCATTTCCTCAAAGAGAAAGACATCATCTTTTTCTTTTTTTTTTCCTTACATATACACATCTATACACAAATACATACATACATATATCTACTTATTTTTTTTTTATTTTCTTTTTTGTACTTTTCACATCTAATATTATTTCCCCTTTTTTGTCTTATATGAGCATCTGGATAATTTGATGTATAAACATAAACTCTTATATATATATATATACAAATTAATGTAAACCACATCAGATAAATTTATAAGATATCTCTATCTATATCCTTCACTTACTCACTTTTTCACTCATTTCCTCTGAATTTAACACATTTTCTCAATTTTTCCCCCTTTTTGGGTGGGAATGGGGGGTATTCCTTTATTCTTAAAAGGCCGTTGTTCGTAATTTCCCTCCAAATATATATATATATATATATATATATAT